TCGTTTTACGTTCCGTATGTATTGATCGAACAATCGAACATCGTAAGAGTAATCATCGTCAGCAAAATACAGCACCGCATCAGTTTCTGGACTGTAGTTTTCACGAATATACTGCAGCGCCAAGTTGCGTTGGGTCCAACCTTGCCCTGAAAAATTGTTGAGAAGTAAATTCTGTAGGGACTCATTTTCCGACCACTGTAATCAACTTGTCATGTCATGTCTTAATGTCCACATGAGACTTTGCGCCCGTCATATCTTTCCATGCATAGTTACTTTTAGTAGATGGGTAGCCCTTGGAAAGTGTGAAGGTCTCTTTAAAAATGTGTTAAATGTTACTTACTAGAATAGGCCAATTGGTTGCCATAGATTAAGAAAATGTCAAACAAGACAGATCCAGCAAATGCTGTTGAAAGATATGCAGAAGAGTCAGCCCCACAATCTAGCCAAGATTGAATGTGCATAGTCTACACATATGTGTGCAATCGACTGCGATATTCCTTGCGATTCAAAGATTCGATTCACAGAAATTCAGTACGCGTAAGAATAAAAAAGAGCAGTTATATCAACTGAAAACTACGAATCTAGCGACCTTTAGCCAACACGGCGCAAATGAAAACCCAAATGTTTTTGAATAATCAGAGTGTTTCATACCGGTACTGAATGCAGCAGATTGCAGCACTGCAGCTGACTGCAGCTGGCAGCTGCGGCCATATCATGTTCGCGTAGAAGAAAGAAAATTTGAGCGGAAAGGGACAAATAGGAACTTTTGATTTTCCTAGGCCTTACTCAAGATGTCTCGGTCGTAATTTAGGTTGTTCTATCTTTTAAGTGAACATGCGGCAGTTGCGTCAGCTGCCGTCAGCTGCCGTGTTGCGGTCTGCTGCAGTCTGCCTCTGCTGCGGTCTGCTGCAGTCAGTGCGGCAGTATGAAACAAACCCTAGAAAACTTCAACGAAGATTGTATGAACCTTTGGAAAACAGCGAGGAGGGGCATTCTATGCACCACTCAGTTATTGTTTTTTTGGAAGCTCAATGTGACAGTGCACAATTACAGGGATAATACAACAATAGAACATGTTGAAAAGTGTTAGCGTACTTTATTTGTCTGTCTCTGCACCAGTTTTCTCACATTTGCTTATTAACATATTGACTGCCGCTTGACACACATCGCGAGTCAAGCAATGGCTACCGTGAGGGGCCGACGACGCACACGTTGTATCAAGGCTTGTATCTCATTAACATGTATATC